CCTCGCGCGGGGCGCGTCCTGAGACCTCAGGAGGGGAGGCCAGCGGGAGGGGGAGCCGGGGACATGCAGAGCCGGGCGCGAGTGGGGCGAAGCGGAGGAGGGCTTTGTGCAGGTTTCTTAAATTTGCGAAAAGATAAATGCTCGGGAGGGTATCGCGGCCAAGGACCGTGGCGTCCTTATCCACGCGATATAGACTAAAAAAAATACCACCTGCGTTTCCTTCGGTTTATCTGTAGTTTGGAAGCCGCAGCTGGCCTTCTAAGTTTTCCATAATAACAGCTTAATTGAGATGTAATTCACACGCCCTATAATCACCTTATTTAAAGCGTAGAAATCCATTTTTTTAGCGTGTTATCTAAGTTGTGTTCTCCCAAAAGAACCCCTGTGCTCATTGGAGTCGTCCTGTTCCCTCTACAGGTCCGTACTTAGGCCACCACCTCCTGCCTGTTGGGGACAGCTCAGGTATGTGGAGTCATGCCAGGGGTCTTTGCGTGGGATCTTTCCGTGAGTGTGATGTTCCCAGGTGCGTCTGCCAAGCCTGTGTCCGAACGCCTTCCTTTGCATGGCTTGAGTAATAGTCCCCTTGTGGATACGCCAAGTTCTGTTCATTCATTCACCTGTTGGTGGATGCTGGAGTGGCGTCCACTTTTTAGCTATAAGGAATAACACTGTCAGGACGTTCCTGATGAGTTTTGGTGTGTCAATGCTTTTCTCTAGGGTGTGTACCTAAGGGTGGAATTGCTGGATTGTGGGTAGCTACTGTGCTTGACCTTCTGAAGAACAGGCTCACCTTGAAGGATTGCAGAATGCCGTCCAGGTGGAGGGTGTCACGTTCCCCCCAGCAGGAAGGAGGGCTGGGTTTTCCCACATGCAGCCCAGTGTCTAGCAGGCCTGCAGGTGTCTCCTTGGGGCTTTGATATGCATCTCCCCATGGCCAGTGAGGTTGGGCATCTTTTCCTGTGCCTGTTGCAGATGTTCTTGGTCCTTTGCCCACTTCTACAAGGGAGGGCCCCCCCAAACCCGGAATTATCTTTTGGCGGGTGGACCCTTGTAGTACAGATTTCAGTGTACTAGCTAGCTTGTGGTGAGAGGCTGTATTTGGCTTCAGTGAATTTTTTGTTGGAGATTCTTTCAACATGTTTGCCCATTTCATGATGGGTGATTTTCGAGTGCACCCACCCACACCACACTGAGTGTTCGGTAGTTTTTGAGCCAAAGTGGCATTACCCCCATGCCCCACCCTCCCTATTCACTTTTTTGGGTGTTTCCCTGATGAAAAAAGTCCTCAAAGGGAAATGTTTATGCCAATGTGAAAGAGGTAAACAAAAAAATGGCAGAAGCACTAAAAGGTATCAAAATTGATAAGTTCAAAAAGTGTTAAACAGTGGAAAAAGTTTCAATAGGTGTACTGCATCAAACAGAGTCCTTTCAAGGTGACTGAAGTTTAAACATGTAAGAATAAGTATACAATTGCTTATAAATAAAATGCTTTTGGGGGGTCCCCTCTTGTAAATTGGGTTGTCTTTTTTTTATTAAGACCTTATGAGGTACAGGTTTGGCAAGTAATTCTTCCAAAATGGGTTGTTTCTCATTTTCTTGGTAGTGTCTGTCGCAGCAGCAAATCTTTTAATTTTGGTGAAGCCCAGTGTATCCACTTTTTCTCTTATGGCTTGTGTTTTTGGTGTCGTATCTAACAGACCATTGCCTAATCCAGAGTTGAAGATTACAGCTATGCCTTCTTCTAGGATTTTTCTGTAGTCTTAGTGCTTTCATTTAAGTCTTTCATCCATTTTGCGTTAGTTTTGGTGTATGTTGTGAGGTAGAGGCCCAACTTCATTCTTCTGCATGTGGATATCCAGTTGACTCAGCACCGTTTGTTGGAAAGACAATTCTTTCTCTGTGGAATTGTATTAGGCCCTTGTCAAAATCAGTTGATCCAGAAATAAACCTCTGGTTTCTCAATTCTGTGCTATTGGTGTCTCTGTCTAAGCTTATGCCAGTACCACACTGTCGTTTTGTGGGAAGTTTTGAAGTCCAGAATTGTGGGCTCTCCAGCTTTGTTCTTCTTTTTCAAGATTGTTTCAGTTGATCTGTGTCCTCTGCATTTCTATATGAAGTTGAGGATCAGCTTGTCCATTTCTGCAAAGAAGTCAGCTGGGATTTTGAGGGCATTGCACTGAATTTGTAGGCCAGTTGCAAGTATTGCTACCTTAAGGCTAAATCTTCTGGGTCATAAACATAGGCTGTCTTTTCATTGATTTAGATCTTCAATGATTTCTTTGAACAGTGCTTTGTAGTTTTCAGTGTACAAGTCTTATACTTCTTTTGTAAAATTTATTTCTAATTATTTTACTCCTCTGACACTATTGCAAGTGAAATTGTTTTGTAATTTCATTTCCGGAATATTCATTGCTAGTATATAGAAATTAAAAATCTATTCTTTTATATTGATCCCTACAGTTTTGCTGAGTTTGTTTATTGGTTCAAATAGCTTCTTTTATATTTTTAGTGAATTTCTTTGTATTTTCTATCTACCAGCGCATGTCATCTGTGAATGGAGATAGTTTTACTTCATCCTTTCCACTAGGGGTGCCTTTCGTTTCTTCTTCCTGCCTAATTGTCTGACAGCATCTGATAGGATGTTGAATGGAAGTGATAAGATCGCGCACCCTTGTCTCCTTCCTGTTCTTGGGGGGGGGTAGACATTCAGTCATTCACATTAAGTGTGACATTAGCTATAGGTTTGTCTTATCAGGATGAGGAAATTGCCTTCTATTTCCAGTTTTGTTTTTTTTTCATCATAAAGGAATGCTGAATTTTTTCAGTTATCTTAAGATTCCTTTATTTTTCTACTTAGTCTTCTATGTTTATCTAGACCAGCGATAGAGAAAGAAATAGAGATAGAGACAGAGGTGGAGGTGAAGGTGAAGGTGGAGATGAGGGTGGGTTTAGGGGGGAGGTGGGGGTGGGGATGGAGATAGAGGTGGAGATGGGGTGGGGGTGGGTAGATATAGGGGTGGGATGGAGATGAGGGTGGGAATAAAGGTAGAGATGGAGATGGGGGTGGGGGTTGGGGCTGAAGGCGGAGACTGGATAGGAGCCTTTATCAGTTGTCTTCTCCATATCTGTGGACTCTAAATCATGTCATTGGGTGAACAGAAGTTCTTAATTTTTGTGTCATCTTATTTATCATTAATCCTTGTGTGCCCTTTTGAAGAAATTTTTGCTCATCCCAACTCTTGAAGATACTATTTAATGCTGTCTGCTAGAACATGGACTCTTTTGTCTTCCTGATTTCGATCCACAGTCTACCTAGGGTTACTCTTTGTGTATTGTATGAAGTGCGGGGGTGGGGGGAGATTGGGAGGCACAATTTGCTTTTTGTACAACACGTATTCCAGTACAATATTTATTTTAAAACAGTCCTTTTTGCAGTCTTCTGCAGTGCCACCTTTGCCATAAGTCAAATATCCACGTGTATTTGGGTCTTCCTTTGCTGTTTGATGAGTGTATCTGTCTAATCTTGCAGTTGTCTTAATTATTTCATCTTTCTATGAAGTGTTGATATTCAGTAGAGCAAGTTGTCCAACCTTGTTCTTTAAGGGTATCTTGAGTCCTCTGAGCTCTGCAATATTATTTAAATTCTAGAATACACAAGTAAATCTCTGTGTAGAGTCTATTCTCTTGTGCTTCTACACAGAGATTTACTTGTATATTCTAGAATAGGTAAATCTGGAGGGAATTATATCTTTACAATATTGAGCTTCTAGTCAAGGACCTGGAGTTATATCTTTACAATATTGAGCTTCTAGTCAAGGACCTGGCATGACCTTATTTGTAAAGGTTTTCTTTAATTTCTCTTAACTATGATTTTATAATTTTCTGTATAGAGACCTTACACGTCTTTCATTAGATTTATCTGTTTTTTTGGTACTGTTGTCAATATTACCTTTTTAAAGTTTATTTTGTTTTTGTTCATGAGATCTAGAAACATTTATAAAGCATCTCACAGCTTTGTTAAACTCACATATTTATTTGAATAATTTACCTGTGATTATTTTGGATTTTTTTCCACACATCATGGCATCTGTGACTTATGGCAATTTTATTTTCTTCTTTCTGATCCTTTCCCCCTATATTTATTTGTCTTGCTTTATTGCAGTGGCTAGGGCCTTAAGTGGGTGTTGAAAGGTGATAATATCTAGCATCCATGTGCCACTTCCAAGGGCGAGGGAAGATTTTCAACCTTTCATCACTAAGATGATATCGTATGTGTTTTGTGGACATCTTTTATCAGATTAAGGAAACTGTCCTCTATACCTGGAATATATGTTGCATATTATCAAATGACTTTTTTCTTAGATATTGAGATGATTTTTTTCTCCTTTTTTGTGTTCATTTCATGAATTAAGATTGATTTGCAAACAAAAAATCAACTTTGCATTTCCAGAATAAATAAATCTGGTTATGACATATCTTTCCATTTATATATTGCTAGATGTAGTTTGGTAATATTTGGCTTTAGAGTTTTGCATCCATATTCATGAGTGAGATTAGTTCATCATTCTCTTTTGCATATCAGAATGCTGGCCTCATAGGAAGTATTACTTCTTTTGATGGTCTATGAAAGAATTTGTGTAAAATTCTGATTTTATTTTTAAATATTTGATATAATTTATTAATGAAGCCATCTCCACCTGCATTTTTGTTGTGTAAAAATTTTAAATTATGAATATAAGTTCTCAAATAGCTGTATAATTAATTAGATTTTCTATTTCTTCCTGTGTCAGTTGGTTGCAGATGTATTAATCCATAGGCTTGCTTTTTTTTCTTTTTGTCCATATTTTCAATTGTGTTGGCATAAGTGTTACGTGATCTTACCTACAATTGTTGTTTTGAATTCACAGAGATCTTTCTCCATATTTTTTCTATTATTGCTTATTTGTGCTCTCTCTGCATTTTTTTTTTTTCTTTTTCAACCTTGGCAACCATTTCACAGTTTTACTAGTTTTACTAAGGAATACCTGCTGACTTTGGTGGCCTTCTCTGTTTTTGGTGTCTTCTAATTCATGAGTGTCTGCTCTTTTCCTCACTATTTCCTCCAGCCTCCTTTCCATGGGACACTTTCCTAGATGGTGTTTTCTCACTTCTTGACAATTCTTGGCTCCTTGCCTTCTCTTTCTTCCATTTGGCACAGAGAGACCTCATTTGTGGTGACCGTGAACGTGGAACTGGGCAAATATTGTGTCCTACATGCCTTAGGTTGTGTTACCAGTGTTGACCTTAAGGACAAGTCGTGGGTCACTCTGCTTGCTTGGACGGCACCTACATCCAGAGCTTTCTGTGGGAGAGGGAGCCAACTCTCACACAGAACAGACTTAGCAGGGAAAGTTCGTTGGTAGTGTCTTGGACTGAGTCCCAGAGTGTAAGATATAGAAGGAATTTAAGTGATCACATTGTCC